TGCTTTATTGCTCATTTACTTCTGTTAATGAATACGTACCCATTAAAAAAAGAGTGACCATGTGGGTGGGGGAAGGAAAAGGAGAGAATGTGTGTTGTTTTGTTGCTTTCAGAGCTTTTCATAACTAGCCAAGCCTGCTGAGATCATTTATATGACAGATGTTTTGTGCTATTGCTTCTACTAATACAGCACCACCACTCTGCTATGCTTGTTATGAGACAACTTGTTTAGGACAAGGCAAGCTTTAGAGCCTATCAGCTATTGTGGGTTTTTGGAAGCTGAGCACACTGCCCAAGAAAGAAGATGCTTGTGTGATCCTCCTTTAACTTCATGAAGCAAGCAGAGACCGTTATTTATTTTGATCAGTGAAAATTTGAGACAGTGGTTTTGCATAATGCCACCTATGATATCTGCCATAAATAGAACGCTGGTTTGCATCTTCATATCACGATTAAGAGCAACTCAGGTTAAAATACAGCTCTCTTCCTCATGTTTCTTTATTCATTCGTTATAAGTAGAACCTCCGAAAGGCACATATTTTGAGAGAATTTGAATGGAATGGAGAAGCAAGCCATTGTTGAGGAAAGGAATTTCCTTCCTTCCTTCCTTCCTTCCTTCCTTCCTTCCTTCCTTCCTTCCTTCCTTCCTTCATATCCTTAATTAAAATAAGGAATTGGGGCCAATTCAAATTCCTCATAGAAGCAACTAAGTCAGTCAGTTTGGCTTTCTATACTTCAGACACAAGGCCTTTTGCCTTGTATTTCAAACAAACTCTGTCACTAAAAAATCTAGAATTGGTTTTTTTCCAGTTAGTGATCTTAAATTTGACATTTCCCAGCTGTGGCTTAGAAATATTGGGGAATAAAAATGGTCCTGCCTTGAAGTGCCTCAAGAACATGGTGCACACATTGTGGAGAGAGAATTAGTTGTTTGAGAGACCTAAAGCATACCAGTGGTGGATTAAGGCTCATTGGTGCCCTAAGCACTGACAAATCTTGGTGCTCCTCCTTTGTACATACTATACATACAAATCTTCATTGGGTTTTTTTTTTCTGTCTCAACTTTGTGGCGCCTCCTTTTGGCCTGCTGCCCTAAGCACATGCTTAGTCTGCTTAATAGTTAATACACCACTGAAGTAAACACATGGCTATTTACATGCAAACACACACACACAAACACTGACAACATATGGGAGGTTACTACCCTGTGTAATGTCCTTTCTGTAACAACTATATTGCTGAAAGCAGCTGCTTTTGAATGCATAGAAATTATCTCCAACATTTTTCTTTGTGTTAATGATATTAAAATGAATTTGCACAAATGCTTCTCAGTGCAGTGGGTTCCTGCTATAACTGATAAATGTAAATTCAAATTATTATGAACATGTCACAGAGGACAAAAATAACTACTGTTGTTTTGTGACATAAATTGGAGCTTTTCCCCCGAACGCTACCAGGAATTTAACAGTTTCTGACCAAATTGAGCTGGTACATTAAAACCATGGAATGCTAGCTAGGACAAAAGGAAGGAGAATGGCCAAAGGGAAATGATTTACCTAATTAGTAACAGAGGGCACATATAAAAATCAAGATAATTCAGATGCAAGAGAATGAGACTTGGGGAATATTCTAAGATATGACATTAGTAGACATTGCAGAAAACAATTTTTTTGATAAATGGAGTGAATTTCAGAAGTTAATAACAATGACCACCAACTACCAAGCAATATTATTTTCCACTTCATGCTTCCTCTCTAGTCACTTTCTTAGAGCAGCTTGTTTGGCTCAGATTTGAATTCAGACAACCTAGAGCAAGATGAATCTCTGAAGTGTCTCATTTGGGACAGGAGTCAGGCTTGGTCTGAATCTAATACTCATCTCTTAGGAGAGTTTAGATTCTAGGGAGCAAGTTGGACATTCAGAAGATGATTGTCTTGCAAGTATTCTTTATTTCGGTTCTGAATCTCACTTCTTGAGGTAAATACGGAGGAAGGGCTCACTGAAAATTCCTTAGAAGTACAACTGCTTTGTCCAGTCTGAAATACCATTTTTTTAAAAAAAAAAATGAATTGTCCTCAAATTATCAAACCATTGTCTTATGTTTTCATGTGATTTGTGTGGCCATTAAGCAAATCTCTGTATCCTCAATTGCAAACAATCTGTTGACAGTAATAACCGTTGGTAACAGCTGGTAAATAATCTTGATTGAAGATAATATTTTTCATTTGTGCACACTTATTTTTAAGCAATATGAGTATAAATGTGTAATCCATATTCTATATACGATTCAGGAGATATACAGTACTTGCTCTGTGCTTTTAATATCCACAAGAGTTGTATTAATGAAACATGGGATATAAATCTATTTAATTTTCATTTATTATTCATGTTTTGCCATCAGTATAAAACACTTTTCAGAATAATGAAATGAAAAATCTTTGCCCTGAAACACTTATTTCACAAGAGGAAGGTGGGTGTTTGCCTTGGTGGTGTTAACTTTAGTTTTAGTTACCTGTTTGGAAAAATATGGAGACTGCACAGTGTGTCAGTAGCCCAAATGATTCAGCTTCTTTTCTTCCTCTGTTTAGATGTTTCGTGAGTATAAGTATGGAACTGAGGCACCACGTAGACTACAACTGTAGCTAAATAGAAATATTTCTCTGCTTCAGTCCCTATGGATCAGATGTCCTGGTCCTATTTAGCAATTTATTTTCTGCTTCATGGTTAGATATACCATATGACCCAATTCCATTGCTAAATCTCAGGGACAGACGGTAACATTTAGAGCCATATGTAGAAAGTGCAAAAGATCAGGTTTTCCTGTAGGGCTGTTTGCTATGCTCAGATTTAGCCAGGAGGAATCTGGCAATGAGTCCCAGGTCAAATCGGAAGCATTTTGACAATTCCTGTTTAGGGATGGAGATAGGATGCTTGTTGGATAAAATTTTAAAATCTAATGGTATGTAAGTATACAATGTCATTTCTTCAAAATTGTACAATGCAAGTAATTTATTGTAAAGGTTAAAAGAAGAGTCATCCTCTGTTATAATGTAGTTATTTTTTTTCCTGTATATTCCTGGCTTTAAATTTACTGTAACAAATATGCTGATGTTGATCAGATATCATTAATAGATTCTACATTTTCTGTGGTCCCATCAAGATAGATTGCACTGTAAGGAGTCTACACTGCCTATGAAAATACAGTAGTTAGATAATAAATTAGTTTCTGGCTGAACTCAGACCTGTTCCTTGAGTTGATCTCTGCAGAAAACCAAATGCAGATAGTTCTCAACAATTGTCCTGTTTAGCAGCCATTCAACTCATGACAATTCTGAAGAAAGAAGTAGGTTTACACTCAGCCTTTGAACTTACGATAATTAAAGCATCCTCATATAATTATATAATTGCAAGTTGGGTGTCTGGCAACTAGCACACATATATGATAGTGTGATCGCAGTGTCTCACAGTCATGTCATTGCCATTTGTGACCTTCATAGCAAGCTTCCAACAAAGTCAGAGAGAAACAGACAGTAAGACACAAGTCCCAATCATGAGATGTCACGCTTAATGATTGCAGTGGAAGCCGTGTCATAAGACAGGCATGGTTGCATGATGTTTCACTTAACGACTGCTTAGCAATGGAATTGCTGGCCCAATTGCTGTCATTAAGTGGGAATTACTTGTATAGCCTTCATAAACTGCTTATCTGGATCAGAGTGTTCTCTCTGCTATTTTGCTACTTAGGTCTCATAGGCCCAGAGTGCTTTCTTTGTTTCTGTAAATTTGATGTGATACTAGATAAAAGAACTGTGAGCCTGCAGTTCTCTTTCAATATTATATTTAGTGTATGGATGGGCTGGAATTTGAATCAGATTTGGAGCAATAGGAGAACAAGATGGAAAAAGAGGACAAAACCTCTGAATTTAACCATTATTGAATGAGTCTCCAAACTCTTATCCATGCACTTTAGTACCCTGTCCTGGCTTGACTGTTTTCATTATTCACATTTTGTATGCACAGAAGTGCACAACTACATTGAAAAAACAGGACAGAAAGGAATTCTGATGTTTTCCGGCACTCAAATTATTATTATGTTTTATTGACACTTTGTATAGCAATAGCAATAGCAATAGTTAGACTTATATACCGCTTCATAGGGCTTTCAGCCCTCTCTAAGCAGTTTACAGAGTCAGCATATTGCCCCCAACAACAATCCGGGTCCTCATTTTACCCACCTCGGAAGGATGGAAGGCTGAGTCAACCTTGAGCCGGTGAGATTTGAACAGCCGAACTGCTGAACTGCAGTCAGCTGAAGTAGCCTGCGGTGCTGCATTTAACCACTGCGCCACCCCGGCTCCTCTCCACTTTCCTGAATGTTTGTGTTTTGTCCATGAACAAAGGCACGGGCTCAGTGGACCGAACACTAAATAGTCAAGAGAGAGATCTATTCCAGTATTATTTGCAAAGAAGATCAGTTGATTCATGATCTCAAAATTCGGGGGAAATTTGAAATAAACCTTACAAGTAAAATTATAAATTACATATATTTCATGTATGCAGTCTTTGAAAATATCTGTTCAGTAATCTCTCCAGAATTTTTAGAATAGGCTTCTTTTAATTAATTAACAATATTAAGAGACGAAGTATTATATAACCACACAGTGGGAATTTTTTAAATAGTTAAGTATTTGAAAAAAAGTAGATTCGCTGAGTATTGGGTAGGAGGACATAGCTAAAAGGATTTAAAGGGCCATCTTCATGTTTTGTACACTAAATTCTGAGATTTCGACTCAGACTCCTACAAAGAGAAGATGTTTTGACATATAATTAGAAATAAGCATTAAAAAGTTACCATTGGTCATTGCATGTATTTGTTGACAATACTCCATGGTTCTGTCTGTTCCTTGTCCAATGTTGCACTTGATTCTGTACGTGATTTTCCTAATCTTGCTATATCATTAAAATACTCTGATGTAAGTTGCTGTATTTTCTCTTCCTCAGGTCCAGGCTAATGTGGAGAAGTCTTTGACACTCTTTGGGCAGCTCTTGAACAAAAAGCACTTCCTGTTAACTTTTATTCGAACGTTAGAGGCCCAACGCAGCTTCTCCATGCGTGACCGGGGTAATGTAGCCTCTTTAATAATGACAGCCCTACAGGGTGAGATGGAATATGCCACTGGAGTGCTGAAACAGCTTCTCTCAGATCTGATTGAAAAGAATTTGGAGAGCAAGAACCATCCCAAATTGCTCTTGAGGAGGTGAGCATTTGTATAGGATCCTCTTAATAAACGGATTGGTATGGATTTTTGCTGTAGTCAGGGTATTTTGTGTTTTTCAACAATTCTGACCATAAATTTAGCACTAAAATAATAGATTGTCACCCATAAATAGTTATTTTCATATCTCTCAAAAACAGAGTGATTGCTATTAGATGGAATATTCACCAAACTGAGCAAGTAGGTGAAACTTTTTTGGTCTTTAATATTTCATTTATAAATGTGAACATTTATGAGTATGGTAAGAACTTGGAAGCTAGAATATTTTCATATCTTTGCAAGTCAGATATCAAAACAAGGTGACAAACAGATTGGAGGAAATGTTTGTTTAAGTAGACAGAGCTATCAGATTTCTGTTAAACGTGAGAACTGACACTTGAGTATGTCAGCATTTCTTTTAAATGAGACTTCAATGTAGAAGTCATTATTATACATCATTTTCAACATCATCTACTCTGTGTTAACATTCTTTGCAGAATAATTGTATGCTTTGTTAAACAAATAAAATGTTTCTATGTGGGGAACGGGTGTAACCACAATAATCTGGTGTAAAAATCAAAGGGAGAAAAAGTTTTAAAAGACTTTGAAAATGACCCTACAAATGATTGTACAGCATTGAAAGGACAAATACATATGCTTGATTTGCAGTAGTGGCTTACTGCTGTGTCTGGTTTGTTATTTGAGATGCATTTTTCTTTACTCAGCAGAAAGCAAACAAAAGGAATAGAGCATTTTGCAATTTGCTCTCTTTTTCTTTCTCCTTTCAACTTATTTCCTCCCTTTCTTCCATTTTTTTAGAAAATTCTTGCTGGTTACCAATACTTTGCCACATAGATACTGTATTTTTACAAAAGTCTCTAAATCAGGGATTTATTAGTTCATCACAAATAATGTCTATTGCAAAGTTACTGTCTTTTAGTAGTATTTGTTTCTAACGGTTGGTAGGGAGCAAGCCATTATTATTATAAAAGTCCAAAAGGAATACAGCCTCTTTCTGCATGCAGAA